ATTTTTACTATGAGTTTGTGAGTGTTTGAGAGGAGATTTTTGTGTATTCAAAGTGTGTTTTTGCAATGAGAAATGATTTCTATTTATAAGGAAAGTCGAGGGTCTGAAACTGATTAGGTTTTGCAACTTGATGTTTTGAAATTTAGTTGTAAATCAAGTAAGAGTTCAAGCAAATCCATGGTTGCAAGGCAAAGTACAAGCTTTCTAGGGTGGTTGAACTTTTTAGATATGTTTCTTTTGATGTTTTCTATGAGTGTCAGAGGAAACAACCACAAGTCTCAATGTATTGGTTTTGGTTAAAGTCATCTTTATGGGAATGAGAGTGGAGCTTTTTGCAAAATGCTCCAAATATGACATGAAGAATTGGATAAAATCTCAAATCTTTGAGTAATGCACTTATGGTTTGTGTAAATATCAGATTATAGAGAGATTTAGAGAGTTCATGGTTTGCAAAGTAAGATTACATGGTATCATTTGGATATTTGATCAAGAACTTGTCACAAAATGGACCTCTAATGCAACTTTGGACATCCAACTTCATATCTTTCATTCTCTTAGCTTAAACATGATAAATTTGTACTCTTAGACATTTTGGAAATCTTGAAACATTCTTTACAACTTTTATGTTGAACACTTTCCTTGAATCAGATGGGATCTTGGTGAAAAATACCTTACAACGTTGGTACTTTTGACTGAAATAAATACTTCAGAATTTTTCTAAGTGTTTGAGATTTTGACAATTTTGAGGTGCTAACTTTATTAATTCGTATCTTCAAATCTATGCATTTTTTGGAGATCAACCCTCATTGAGAAAGTTGTAGTATGCGACATTCTCTTCAATTTGAGCATCGGGGCAAGAAAAATAGTTACTTGATGAAGAAGTTACAAGCTTTCAAAGTAGCATACTTGAACATGAATATTTAGAAGACTTAGTGAATTTTTCAAAACCCTAATCTTGATCTTTGATTCTTTCTCTTGATTTTCTTGATTAAACTTGATCAAATGATTTTCTTGACTTTGTACCAGATGAATCCAATCTGTCTAATTTCAATGGAAACCCTTAATTATATTGCAACCCTTAGCATGTTGAGATGTTTTTGAGGTTCATAAGGTGATGATATGACAAACCCTTGGGTGATACACAATTTGAGACCTCAAACCCTAATTCTTGATTTTTCATCTGAGACACCAAAACCCTAATTCTTGATTTTTCATCTGAGATACCAAAATCCTAATTCACTCAATGAATCCAAAGAAACCCTAATATGATGAAGTTATGGTGAAGATGATGATTACTTGATCACCATGAATGAGGGGCTTGAATCTTTGAGGAACACATGCCCTTTGATCAACCGATTGTTGGATCCTTTAGCCTACCTTGCACAAGCAAGAAACAAAGCATATCTTTGCATCTCATAAGGTTACTGGATACAAATATGAATGAGATGATATTTTAATATTATGTAAATGATGCGAAAAGAGGTGGGATCTTAGGTCAAAAATTAGGATACAACGGTTAGGCAGAGTTATCCATAAATCAGTTTAGTAGATCAAGATTATTGTTAAGGTAATCAAATCGTCATATGAGTTAATAAGTTTTCTCATTCATGAATTTAAGCATGATTTCTAATAGTTACTTTTCTGTTTTATGGTGCAATGATGACTTTGTTCATGCACAATAATTATTTTTTAATTGGCATTAACTCACAACTCAAAACTAATCGATAAAAGAATGTGGAGGGAAATTTGTTTACACTTGATAAATAATTAGTTAGTCGATATTAGTTGACATACAAGTTAGTATCAAGTGATTTACTCTTAGATTATAAAATGTTTGACGAGTACAAATTTGGATTTATACGATATAATTGACTTTTTATCAAGTTTGATCATCTATATAAAGTTTGTGGAAGTATTAAAATCAGTCAAAACTTAATAGGTTTTGACAAATGGGCGTTTTACTTGTGTTTCATGTTTATAGCACCAGTTACTAAAGAAATTTAAGGGTGAGGAGCCATGTTCTCAGAAAGTTGCACTCATGTGGATAAGAAGAAAAATACATTATCGAGAAATTTGGAAAATCAAATTGAATGAAAGGTGTCAAGTATTAGAATAATAATGTAAGTGGGAAAATAGTCCCACATTGAATAAGAATGTGGTGACTTGAAAATATATAAGTGAGAAAACTCGTTTACCTATTACCTTAAAATTTTAGGTGAATAAGTAGTGTGTCTCTCAGAAAAGTATATAATTATCAACTTTGTATCAATGCTCTTAATAATAACACTCATACATGACATGTGTAAATAACCGAGCAAACCGTTTTGTCCAATAAGATTAATATTTGCCTATAAATATTAGATTTGTCAAAGAAAATCCAACACACAATCAATTAAACAAGTTATTTCATGTATTTTTATTTCCGTCTTTAGCTTATTTTGTACGAGTTTTTAATATCTCAAACACTCAAAACACCCTAATCAACACTCTTCTAAAATAGTTAAAGAATGTGTAACTGAATGACAAAGTTCATATCTAACTGTAATTGCTTGAATAAATAAAAATTATTGTTGGAAATTATTAGTCGAGTTAATTGTCCAATTCAACAACAATCACCTAATTAAAACATGAAAGTTATTGTAGCCTAATAAAAACAATCTAATTGTTGTAGCTTTCTAGGATGGTCTTATAAATCCTCAATCATAGAACTATAATATGGTAACTTTTCCTTGATGAGCTAAACTTTTGTTAACAAAAAGTGCAATTAATTCATCTAAAATATCTGGCGTTTATATTCCCCAATATGCAAACAATCACTCTAGGTCCATAAAAAGGGTCCAAAAGAAAAAGATAATTACTAGTTGACGAAATTTGAAAGTAATAGTTATTTTTTTTAGGAAAAAGTTGAAAGCTATTTGTTCATTGTGTTTGTCATCTCCCATACAATGCAAAGAAGACACATCAAATTAGGCAACAACCCATTTAAGTTATGTGGTAAGTGCCTTATATAGTTCTCTTGTTGATTGGCATGACTGCAAAGTTTGTGGCCCAAAAATATACTATAGATTTTGCATTTTACAGCTGCTTGATTGATCACACTTCACCTTTCACTACAACTAGACAATATCTATTTGAATAAACCTATCAAGAAAGATATGACCTTTTTTCAATACAAGCAAGGGATTTTAGATAAGATTCAGTGATTAGATGATGATATCATACCATAGTTTTGGAAAGTTCATGAATTATCAAAAGAGAATTTCTCTTTATATTTAATAGTGATGATTTTCACCACTACTGGAAATTCAAAAATATTTTTTAGATATGTATATCCGAATACACCTTGTGAATTTGGGATATTAAATTATTTTAGATATATATATTCTAAATAATTCAATATTTCAAATTTTATTTAAAAAAATATTTATTTATAATATAATTAAATTAAGTTATTATTAATAAAGAATAAATTAAATTTATAATTAAAAATTAAATATTAAAGTAAATTTATAATATGAAATTAAACAATAAATATAACAATTAAATTTTTAATTATAATGATGATATGTAATTGTCTTTTAATTTTTTGTTTAAAATTATGTATAATTTTTTATAAAAAAATATAAGAAATGTTTCTTAATTGTAACTTTAAAAGTTAAATTTAATTTAGATGATATTTTTTATTTTTTATTATAGAATTGATAATAAATGATTGTATTGTAATTAAAAAATTTATTATATTAAGAAAATCTTTATATTAAAATTAAAAATTGAATATTATTAATAACTATAATATTAAAATATATCATTTAATATTAAATGCTTAGATTCTTATAAAAAAATAAACAATTTATAAATTATAGAGATCATTTATATTAATACTTATATATCTTATAAGAATAAATAAGGTTATTTCGTATATATATATTCGAAAATCCATTAAAACCAAAATATTAAATTATTTTAGATATACATATCCAAAAATACTTTAAAAATAAAAATATTAAATTATTTCAATATATATATATATATATATATATATATATATATATATATATATATATATATATATATATATATATATCCGAAAATACTTTGAAATATATATATATATATTTTTTTTTTGCCTTTGTCATTGTCATATGCATACTCTAATATTATTATTTTTGTGGCCTTTGTCATTGTCTATCTTTTTACAACCTTCCTATTCTTAACAAATTTCCAAGTGAATGTGTACTTTCCTATTGGTTTCAGAATATATGTACTTTGAAAGGTAAATTCTTGTGAGTGAGTTGTAAAGGTGGATAATCCTATGTAATGTATAGTAACTTTTGAAGTAAGAAGAGATACTTTTACCTCTTTATGATTTCTAGATGCTTTTACCTCTTTATGAATTCTTAAAAATCACGTTCTAAAAAATAACTTTTGTTTTGAATTACTAATTTTAATGATCAAAAATGTTTTTTTTTCTTTTCTTCAAATTTATTGTTCCAAAATACAAGTAGAAGGTAAAAAAGAAACTCTCTAAAAATAAAATAAATCTTTTGTTTTCTATCAATCTTTTACTATTTAATACACATAAACACATTGCCTAAATAGAAAAGAAAAGATGTTTTAAACTCCTTTAGTTTTTGTGGTTAATTATATTTATCAATTACCAGAAAAGAAAGTATAAGAAAAACAATTAAAAATTCAAAACAAATAAGAGTCCATCATATATCAAGGTGTAATTGCACAACAAAAAATGATAATTTAGGGGATAATACATATCATGATTAATCAACACACAAAATTCTAATTGTGATTATGTTGGTATTAAGGGGTGGCCATGATTGCCATCACACCTTTAATTAGCTGATACAAATCAACATCACTTAGCTGGCTTCTTACATTGAAAATATGGAAAAAGAAGAAGAAAAAAAGTAGTCCAAAAGCCACAAATCTCTTTAAACATATGTATGATCTGAAAGTGAATGTGTCACAATAAATTGGAGAGGTAATTAGGCCTTGTGAGGTGGACACTGATAGCACTTAGCAAATAGTCCAAATGTTTTAACTTGGTGTACAAAATTAAGCATACTTGCCCATCCTCCTAATCCAAATCCAACCACCAAAACCCATACAGCCACAAACACATTCAATGAGTACAATCCTACCCATCCTCCTAAAATCGAAGGTGGTCTCTCCACCGCATTCTGCAAAAGAATCAATAAAATATAGATCAGGTATATAAGTTATTCAATAAATCTAAAAAATAAATTTTTATTAATAGTAGTTAGAAAGAGTCCTATGATAGTACATGAGTGTTACCAACTGGAACATAAGTTTGAATTTGCGGTGAGATTATCAGAATCACGATGATAGTAGATAAGAAGAATTATTACCTCTCTGGCTGATGCTGAAGCAAAGGTGACCATGTGAGCCAAGGCAGGAATTATGTAAACTGTGAAGCTAACCAAGAGTGATCCAACAGTTGAGTTAATGGGGCCAAAGAATGGGAATATTATTGCCAAGAACCATATTGGAACTACCACAGGAAGCCTAACCAATGCTCTTTTGAACAAACTTTTGGTTTCATGAACTCCAACAAATTTCTCCCACACAAAATATAAAGGTGTGCAAGCAAATCCAAATGTTATAAACTGAAAAAAAAAATTATATATGGACTTGTCAATAATAATCTATATAGCACCGATATCTCAGGAAGACATGCTCAGCGTTGGTGTCTGACACAAACGCATACGGTTACGTTTAAATATTTCACTTTATCAAATTATTATCAGTGTCATTGTAATCAGTACCTGATGAATGAGCATGAGAACGACAGCGGAATCTCTAAACCCTGTCCTAGGAAGCAAGGAGAGAGCATTGGAATGAGTGAGAAGATCATCTCCAAATGCCCAATATACTGCAGCTGCTGATGGCAAAGTTAATGTCATCACATATAGAGTTGCAATTAGATATATCATCTTAAACTTCTGTGGCTTCCACATTGCATGCATAATTTCCCTAAAATTAATACAACACTGTCAGATTCACATATTAAAAAAATTGTAACAAATTTCTCAAAAACCATGTCACACATCTTCAACTAATCCAATGAATTTGAGTCCTCACACTGTAACAGCATGTCCACCAAAAGTATAGAGAATGTTGGTAGCTCCAGTGAAGTAAAGAACCAATTTGGTTGGGCCAGAGTGCTTCACATCCTCAGCCTTCAAAAACAATATAAATAAATCATATTTATTGAATTAAATTAACTACATGATTTTATATGATGAATTTGATCATGAATTGTATACCTGTCCATGAACTAAAGAAGCTATGGTCATATACCATGCAGTGTAAGTGGTCATAACTAGGCCCAAAAATGACCAAATTCTGTAATTGTGGAAAGAGGGGATGAAAACTGTTGTTGCACAGCATGCACCAAATATGTAGGTCCACGTTCTCTTGTCCAAATGGTCATTTATATAGTATATGTTACTGTCACATTATTCATATTATACAAAAAAAAAAAATTGTTAGCTCAAGATTTTAATCTATATAAATTTTGATTTATATATAATCAAGATTATACAGAAATAACAGGTAGACAGACAACAAGTTGCACTGATATCTCCTTTTCGATGGCAAAATGAATCAATTCTCTAACCTTGCACAAGCAATTAGCTGAATTACTGATCCAAACAAAAGGAAAGTGCAGTTGAAAAATAGTCCAAGATTTCTCCAATGTTTGCCTAAAAGTCCATCAAGAACTTCAAACCACTGCAAAAAGTGAAAAATATGCAAGATTAATTAGAAGAAGCTAATTTAAAATTAAAGTGATAAATTTATATATATTATTCACCTGAATAACATGGTTTCTGAAATCAACTTTCTCTCTTTCTTTTCTAGTTCGATATTCGACGTAAAGAACACTGATAATGTAAGCAGTCCAACTTCCCATTAGTCCATAAAAAATCTGAAATAGAATTCCAGATAACATCCCGAGTTGCGAAAACGAATATGGCAATGTCAAAAGAACTTGTGCAACCTACATAATTAAAATTCAGAAAAGAAACACACTATAAGAATTTTAATGATATTGCATAATCAAAGAAGTGAAAGTGATTTAGTAAATAAGTGCCTGATTAGAAGCACAACTAAACCAAGCATCATAGACAGAACCACCATGCCAAAAGAGCCTAGACAGTTTGCTAGTAGTGGACTTTGAACCTTCTTCTTCTCTTTCCATTTCTAAGTAGTTTCCAGCAACAACAGTTTCAACTTTCTCAGAAGTCATTTTGTTGTTATTCTTATCTTCCTTAAGGTGTTTTAGGAGGAAGAAAATAGAATTCAATGACCAAAGATATATATAGAAAAGAGAAGTGCTTCTTTCCACACTCCTATATCACACTTTCACATTAAATTCTTATATAGGTACCAATCTTTTAAAAAGTTGGTTCAACCCGTTGGTTTGAACCGGTTATATTGCAGTTTAATTTGAATCGAATTAAACCGGTTTTTATATATTTACAATGATCTCTTACCAATAGTAATGTGAAGGTTCAACTTCGTGATCAGTTTTGTTGGCTGTGATGGGCCAAGATTAGCTGCATTGCACGAGCGGGTGGCCTACCATAGGACTATTCTTTTCTTTTTTATGAAAGAGCCCATGCACATTGATTGATCATGAATTTTGATAAAAGCAAATAAGGGGTAGATTAAAAAATGTTTATGTGTGGGGGAACCTAATATGGAAGATATCATTGCTCTACATGATTTAGTGCTAATCATGATTAGTATTACATGTGTTCCAACTTGCTTTACTATAAGAAAATTCCAGCGTAACCCTATAGCCCTTAATTTCTCTTTGATTTTCACTTTTTTCTTAATAGTTACATTTATCATTTTGTATATAAGTGTTGTGGCTCCTGGCTAGTCATGTGTTGCTACTGTATTTTATGTCAGCATAGTCTTTAACTTTTTTATTGCATCATTGAGTTTGGAAGGTTTCATTTCCATTATAAGGATAATTTAGGTTAGGTGTGATTTCCTCATCTTGTGGTCAAAAAAAGAGAGGATAAAAAGAAAGAAAACATCTTTTTACATGGGCATCAGATTTGATTAATAGGACTAAGCATGGCCCAACTCCTACCAAACCCACTAGGCCCAGTCCCAGAGATTGTTGGACCTTTTGGACCTTTTCCTTTACCCCTTAAAGGTTTAGATAATTTTCTAACGTACCTTTATTATGAGTGTTTTCGGAGATGTATATTTGAAATGGAGTGATTTCGTTGATGTATATTCGAATTGTATCAAATTTTATGAAAAAAAGATTATTTCAGATATGTATTTTCGAAATTAATAAATATTTTAGATATTTTGTATAGATGCGTTAAGAAGGTGTAAGGATGATTTAGGAAATTCTCAAAGGTTTAAAACATATATATTATATATTGATTTTGATTGGGTTCATTAATTATCTTAAAGAAGATTTTTTATAAATAAAATGTCCATCTTTATTTATTTACTTCAACTATTCTCATGAGTTAAATTTTAGAGCTTGGAAAGTTTTAAAATTTAGATCAAAACTATTTTAGTTTTTATGTTAAACAATTATTAGTTGAGGTATTATGAGTGAAGAATTTGAGAGGAAAAAACTTTAACATGAGTGAATTGAATTATAACTCTCTCAGTTTATTCAATGAACTGGAGTAAAACATTTATACGAGTGAATGATGTGCACCATGGGCTAAGCTAAACAATACATAGAGTACAAAGTTTGTGTAGCAACTAATTACTCTCTTAACTAACTTTCTAGAAATCTAGAATAGTGTCATTAACTCTAACTTTCTCTAACTAACTTGCAATCTCTTCAATGGATGATTTGTATTTCGAATAGGACTAAAAGTAGATAAAAGTTTGAAGAGGACATACTTTGATTAAGTTTTCGATATGGTGGTTATGAATTCCAGTTATAAGGGAAGTATTTGGAAGGATAACATTTCAACACTCAAGTAAGTATTTAAATGAAGTGGCATTGTTGCAAGTGTGAATGAAAATAATATGGTGACTTAGAGTCACACTCATCTAGAAAAGACGTTTAAAATTAATTCTGATTGATCCGATGTGGAGTGTAAATAACCGTTTGATATGATGAATGAATGAGATAAAGGTAGAGGTCGTGCTCTTATGGGGTGTCCAGAAGGGAAGGTTCACATATTCGTTAGTGAGTAGAACGCCTTTTATTGGATTGGGTCTATGATTTAGGTTAGTCTTGACAAACCTTTGGTCGGAATAATGAGAAATTATCTTCACTTGAAGCTATCTCATGTATTATCTCTCTCAGATTAGATTTTGATATATATATATATATATATATATATATATATATATATATATATATATATATATATATATATATATATATATATATATATATATATATATATATATATATATATATATATATATATATATATATATATATATATATATATATATATATCATGTCCAATGTAGACATGATAAAAGTGAAAGTCGTGGGTACGAACGAATTTATGAAAAAGTCATCTAATTGATTGTTGGAAGAAACTGGGAGCAACTTCATAACACCAATTTGTGGTTTCTTACACATGAGGCGAAAATATATCTCCATATATTTGATCCTCTTGTAAGAACATGATTTATAATTATGTAGAGTGGAATTTGATTATTACAATACATCACTAGAGGTTGAGAGAAATTAACTTATAAATCACATAAGAGAATTATGAGCCATTAAAATTCATAAATTACAAAATTCAATTCCATATACTCATCTTCAAATGATGATATAGATATGGTATATTACTTTTGGTCCTCCATGAAATAAGAGAAGAGCCAATGAACAAGTATGAGCTTGAGACAAGTTGTTTAAAATCAATGCAATCACCTCATATGTATTTGACCATCCAAACAACTTAAATAGTAGAACATCTTGGAAAGAATAAGCCATTGCCATGATAATGCTTAAGGTATTTGAGAACTATGCATGCAACATTTTAATGAGTGGTGGTTGGTTTGAAAAAATGTTGACTAAGTTGTTTGTTAATAAAGGTGATGCCAAATCATGTAGTGTTGAGATAAAGTAAATAATCAACGAGTCTTTTGTAAGATGAGTTGTCATAAATGAATTACTATTGTTTAGTTTAACAAATGGATCTAAAGTGTAGGTATGTGTTTTTAGGAAAGAAATCATGAGTAAGCAAGCAAATCTAAGCGGTGTTTTCTTTGGCATAGTGAAGTTCCTTTTTTTTATAAAGCTATTTCGAGACCTAGTAAGTGTTTAAGGGTTCTTACACCCTTGATTTTGAAAAACTAGTTCAATACAATCTTTGGCTAGGGATAGAAGACATCCATCCTGAGCCAGGATAAAACCTGAGGGCAAAGACGAGAATCCCACCCTTGGTCGAAAATAGTTCCTAGTGATGCTAAAGACTTACACCAGTTCCCTCCTCCGACTAGGAAGGGTAATGATAAGCTAAGTAGTTGCACCAGCTCCCTTTGATAGGGATGAGTAATGATAAAGCTTAGTAGTTACACCGAGTCTTATAGACATGGACAGGTAAAGAAAAATCTTGGTGATTATGCCAATTCCCGCTAAGGGGGGCGAGCGACGACGAGTTCCAAAATTCATGTCAGTTCCTCCTTTAGGAAAAGTTCCAAGCAAGATGATACAAATGACTCAAATCCCTATTAAAGGAAGCAATTAAATCAAATAATAGCGATGGAAGAAGTCACAAGTTGACTCAAAAATAAGTGAAAGAGACGAGAATAATCTTGCTAATGTAATCGGAAGATCATGACAAATATTAAACAAAATATAATGAGCATTAAGAAACCGGACAACGAATGGTAAATAAATAAATATTGTTATCCGTGCATGTTACAGAAAAACATCAGGGCACAACATCCAATACAAGTTATACATAAACACAAAAGCATGCATCTCCACCTTGAGGATGAGCATCTTCATCACGAACCGATATGTGATTTTGAATCAGGTTAATCTTGAACCGAAGTAAGCTTTTAAATTAGGTTGCGCTTACAAACCGAACCGGCGACTTAGAAACGAAATCCCAAAACCAAAGCTTTTTAAGAATTTTTTTTATTAATAACCAAGTATTAAAAAAATATTTCGCGAATAACCGGGTTTCGGAAAAAATTACGCAAATAACCATGTTTGAGATGGCTCCATAAAGGAGGAGCCATCTCATTTGGCGCATCCTCCTCTTTTTATAAGGGAGGCGCCATCTCATTTGGCGCCTAAGGGCAAATGGCAAGCCCTAAGCCAAGTGAGATGGCGCCTATGTACAAAGTTAGGTCAAAAAAAAATTTTTTTTTTCTTTCCTGCGCGTTGCGTATTAGACAGAGATAAACAAAATTGATTTTTTATTTGATAAAAAATAATTACATTGAACTGTTTTACATTTAAATAACAGTAAAAAAAAAGATACAAAAAATACTGGAAAAAAGAAAGATACATCAATGATCCCCAGGAACCCGGTAATGACCCCCAGTTCCGCATCCCCGTCCTCGCCTTTCTCTTGCTGGGTGCCGTCTCGTTTCCTGTTGCGGCAAGGTCGATGGCCCAGCGAAGTCAATGCGATCCGAATCCATAAAATCAGTAAGATCTCCATATCTCGAAGATCCTCTCTAGTACAGTCGGTTACCCATACCCTCGAAGTTTGGTCGTGTTGGCGGTGGGTGGGGTTCCATGGTTGGTCGGTAGCATTGGTCGTCTGAGTATGGGGGGTAGAAAGGAAATGGATCTTGGGGTGTTTGGTACTGTGGATGTTGGGTTGTTTGGTGATATGGTGGTTGATGGTAGGTTTGGTCGGGTTGGTCATAATCTTCTGACATTCCCATATCAGGGCTAAGGCTGGATGTTGAGGGCCCCATATTGGGATATGTGGAAGACTGAAATTGTGTATGGGGTATGTGGGTTTGCTGGTATTGGGGTTGGTATTGTGGTTGGGTTTGAGGCATATCTGGGTATTGGTAGTTTGGCGGTGATTGTGGTTGGTAGTACGGCATTTGGTTGTAGTTGTGTTGTGGTGGGGAATGTGGTTGTGTGTTTGTTGGTCTGTTTCTTCTAGGGGGTTGGTTTGAGGTTGATGGATTTTGGGTTTGTTGGTGGGGAATCGAGGGTTGTGCCCATTGTGTGCGTGGGTCAACCAAGTACCTCGGATGAGACACGTGCATATCTGGGTTACTAATCGACCTGTACCACGACATATATTGATCGGTGTGTCGCAT